GGCATCTTAAAAATCATTTAGTTCCATCCCCTGCCATTAGGGTATACTGATGTTCCTTAAAGCCTAACACAAGGGAGCAGCTCCCAGAGCAGTAAAAATTGCATTTCCTTTGCACCTATGCAAAGATAGCAGCGTAGGACATTTTGGGGAAGAAAAAAAAAAAAGATTCAAATATGAAAAGCAAACACATGCTCCTTAGATTCCTTGTGCATAGCTTGACACACCTGGCTCTTGTGCGGTCTGGCTCTTGCACTAGACTTGCTAAACAACTTGCCCGCCGCTACCAAAAATCTTTTCAAGGCTCAGCCATCATATCAACTCAGCATGACATAGAACCAGGTTACATTTGCATCGCCTGCATGGCAGAAACTTAGAAAGAGAAATAAAATGCCTGTCTCCACACTTCCTAAGTCAGCAGCTATGGGTGGCCCACTGCAGCTCTTCTTAGGGGTCCTGCCATTTCCTCTGCTTAGGGACGTTCTGAAGTTTTCTACATATTGAGAAGGAGTTTTGCTCTCAACAGAAAGATGTCTGCAAGGCAGTAATTGCTTTTACATGCCTGGGGAATCCAGAGAAGCTGTTAGGAAGGAACTTGCAAGAAAAGCAATTTGGGAACCTCTCTGTGACCTGCCATAGCTAAGGTAAACAGCTTGCTAAAGGGCAGAGTTTGGTTTCAAGTGGTGCAGCTGCAGGAGGGCTCCTCAGAGTGGTCTGCATCTTAGCCAGAGGCCTGCAACCTGGACCTGGTCACAGGTTGCAGGTCCAGGTCCAGGTCCAGAGTCAGGTTGTGCCCAGCTCCCCATGCAGCACCTGCATGGGCCTGCTGCTGAGGTACAAAAGGCACTCAACTTCTAAGTTGTGGCAGTAATACTTGGTCACTCCTTGAATCTTGCACCATTTCTGTGAATCCCCCCTCCATCCACATATGAACTGTCTCCTAAACAGTCCTCTGGATGAGTGCCTTTGTACTGAGTACAATCCAGCCTCCTTCCCTAAAGGGTTAAACATGCTGGAGGGGGAGGCAATACTTGTCCCAGCAGCGGCAAACTTGAGCAGATTTTCTGTGGGAAGCCATCTGTCAAGCTGGGGAGTGGTGCTGTGTCAATTGATCAGCTCCTCCTCCAGCTCTGCTCTGCAAACTACGGCTTCCTGACCTTACAGGGTGACAGTGGGGGAGTAGCAGGATCTCTGGAGGCACAGAGATCCTGTAATAGAGGCTCTCTTCTCCCAGACTGGGTGAGGGACACCTCTTCTGCATCTTCCTTTTCTCTTGAAGCAGCTTGCTACGAGGAGCCCAAGTTTATGGGTGAAAGGCTGTAGGATGAAAACAAGTATTTTTCAGGGGATTGTATTTCACCTGGGTGATGCACAACATAAGGAACTTCTTCTAACTCAAGCTATCTCTATCCCAAACTTAAATCTGTCTTTTAATAGCAATGGTGAATCACGTTTTGGGTGCTCCAAGGTGAAAAAGGGGAGGGCGAACTATGAAATTTCTGCAGTATTAAAATAGGAGCTTGTGGTGCTTTCTGAAACTTTAAATTCCTGGAGAGACAAAACATTGCTTTTTGATTTTAAATTAATAAAGCACTAACAAACCAGTAGGCAAAAAATGTAGGTCTGCCTCCTAATCTAAAATCTTTCACTGCAATACCACAGTGAAGTCAAATTCCTGCTCTGATAGCCCCGTGATTCTTTGTCAGTTTAGGTATCTTATCTTTTTCCCTGGTTTTCCATTAGATGTGGTCAAAAATAAGGAGAGAAGTCATTTTTCTGTGTTTGCTGTTTTTTTTTTTCCTCCTAAACTGCACTCACGGAGATTCTCATTGAGCTCCATCAGCACTTCTCCTGATTTATTGTGAAAGGAACACTTTCTTCCACACTGTTGTATGTCCTTCCTTCATCACCCCTCTTTTTTTTTTTTTTCTTCTGAGTGCTGAGTTGGTTAGGGAATGAAGAACAATTGGCTAGCCCAAGCATTGGTGTGATTAAGTGCAAAAAAAAATCTTGCCAAGCCAAAATCTGGGCTGGCTTGCACTTCCTGAATGCTTTCATTTTGAATAGAAGTTGCATCTTCTTGCAGCTTCTGTAATAAAGATGCGAGCAGTTGTGTAATAATGGTAATCACATGCACAGCCAGATGGTTCATGCTCTTTGATTTGAGGAGCGATGTATCTATTTCTATGTAAAGGTGAGCTGTTAAGCTGGTTTGTAGTAAGTCTACCTATTTTGTGTATCGATATTTGATGTTCTGCTATGCTCTGGTTAGTGAAGAGCGCTGAATTTTCTGCCTGAGTTTTTGAGAGAGAATTTCCTTCAACTGTGCTGTGCACTCATGTGGAATGAACTGTCAGCATGTGCTTTAGCTGGAGCTTCTGACGGGGTTCTGAATCTCAGAGACAGCAGTAGCTCCTGCACCTTGCTACCATGTCTAGTAACTCCTGTGTGTGCATGTCCTGCGTGTGCAGCCTTGAAATAACTATTGGATTTACCATCTCATGTCCCTTCCTGATCACCGAGGAAAGCATCCAGACGTCTAGATCCCGTATGTCAAATCTTTCTGTAATTCAGTAGTCAGGTCCTTCAACTCTTAGACTCTCTGATAGAAACTGTGGAATTTTGCTGTCAATGCAGAATTTCCTGTGCATAAAAATAGAAGAGCTTTTGTTGAATTAATACATAAAAAAGTAGTTATCACTCACAGTGTAGCAGTCAGTTTGCTACAGGTGGCTTGCAAAGGTACAGTGCAATGAAGGGTATTGAAGATGCTTCTTCAGGCTGTCTTTGATATCAGGCAAGTGCTGTGGCAGTTATTTAATCTTTCATCTGTTTTTTCTGATTGTCTCAGTAAGCTTCAAAGATAAAACGTATCTCTTAATTTTTTTCCTGAGCACAATTGTAGTTGGGGAAGGGTGTGAATTCCAGTGATCAGAAAACTTGAACTGTGTTCCACAGATTGTGAAGCTCAGTTGCTGCTCCTGTCTCCAATTTGCCTTTTTTTTTTTTTTTTCTTTTTTCTTTTTGTGTACATTTATTTTTCCAGTGAGTAAAGAACAGCCATAAGAGAACTTTCACGAGTGGGTGGTGGAAGTGAATAGAGGTTAATCACCAGAACTCACAGGAAAGGCCTGGGGATCTGAGAGCGAGAACTCCGTATAGGACATGACCAACTGGAAGTTCAGGAAAAAGAATCAAGGCTGGTCAGAAGATCAGAGTTATTTTTTTTCCTGGAGTTGCTGAGCTTTAGCATATTTTTACTGATAGATAAAATGGCAATAGGTAATAAAAAGCATGAGTAAAGAAGGGATGGACGAATGGATGGATGCCTGATTAACTGACACCATTGTGGAAAACCAGCTTTACCTGCCAAACTGTCAGAGAGTGACTTTGGTAGAGAGTTGGTGTAGTGGAAATGCTAAGTTACAGCTTGAAACAGTGATTGAACACCTGGTGGGAAGGCAGGGCCAACCCAGGGGAGCTCAGGTGCATGCAGTGCACCTGACCAGAAGGCATGAAGCCAGGATCCAGCCCTTCCCAGACTTTACATAAGGGTTGGTAGCAGAGGCAAGGGTAGCTTGCTGGAGAACCCTCTTTGCCTGAGGTCTTCTAAGGGTAAGCATACTTTTTCCTTTGTTTCTGTGTTCATGGCTGCTGCATTTGGGGCTTATCCTCATTTGCTATAGCCTAGGACTTTACTATCGTTGCTGTGCTGTTCATCACGTTATAGCGTTACGCTGGGAATATCTTGAGGTAATGTTTTTGGGCATTTACACAAGGAGTTCCCCTAATCTAAAACTCTTGACTGCTTCCTTTCGGATTTTTGGTTCAGCTTTTCTGGCAGGGAAGAAGAAGCGGTGATTGGATTTGGAGAGTTTCCTTATTGTGATGTGAATCTCTGCAGAAAGATAACAGTAATTCTACCTTTTTTGTTTATGATTAAATCCTAACCTGTCGAAATCAGTGCGAGTTTGCAGTTGGTTTTAAACAACAGAGATCAGATTGTAAGAGAGCATATTAAGAAAGGGTTTTTTTTGTTTCTATCAAGAACAGGGCAAAAGCAGGGATTTGGATTTTACTGAATCTTTCAGATATTGAAATGGTGGTATCTTGTAAAAACTCAGGATGAAAAAGGCTTACACTATGCCACTGAAGAGATGATCTGTGCAAAATGCCTTTGGAGTCTTGGAAGTTATAAAGTGGTGCACGTTCTGATTCTCACAAAGATGAACCTGGCATGACAGAAGGCAATGAATGAACACTTCATAAAATATATGACAGATGTTATTCTATATGGCATTCTATAAAATACGACAATAAACAAGACCCTAGATGGTTTAGATTTTTTTTTTTCAACTTTAGCATGTTCTAAGTTGTTCTGAAATGAGACTTCGTAGTTGTAGTACTTCATGCTACTGCTTGTTTTGAGAAGAAACAGAAGTAGAGGTTCTCAGATTTGTTTGTGTTTAATGATTGTACCTAATCTAGGTGCATTTCAGTCTGGATATTAAGCTAGAGCACTGTCCCAAACTTAAAAAAAAAAAAAAAAAAAAAAAAAACCAACAAAAAAACAAAACAAACAAACAAACAAAACACCAAAGCTGCTTTGTGCCCTCTTTATCCTACATATAGTGTTGTGATAATCCTGGTATTAAAGCTGTTGATTTGTGCAAACATAGAATATTTTGCATGTATTCTTTTTCTGGCCTTGTTTGTGCTCCACTTGTTCTCTATCTGTTTGAATCATGCCTAATATTTGAAACATTAAGTAATTTCAGCAACGTGCCTTTAAAAATAAATTAAGGACAGCTGGTCATAAAAAAGCTTTTACTTCCTTCCCACTTGCTTCACTTTGTTAAAAATCCTTAAAATGTGGCCAAGACATGAAGTGCAAGATACTAACTGTATGCCTCCCCTTCCACACTCAATGAGTTGACTAGGAATGTTGTCTATTTCCTTTGACCTATTCTTGTTTTCTCTTTCTCTTTGACTTCCTATTCTAGGATGAGTCATCCATGTTCTTCCAGTTTGGCCCATCAATAGAACAGCAAGCTTCAGTCATGCTCAACATCATGGAAGAATATGACTGGTACATCTTCTCCATTGTCACTACTTACTTTCCTGGTTACCAGGACTTTGTGAACAAGATCCGCAGTACCATTGAGCACAGCTTTGTGGGTTGGGAACTGGAGGAGGTCCTTCTGTTGGACATGTCCCTGGATGATGGAGACTCAAAGATCCAGAACCAGCTCAAGAAGCTCCAAAGCCCTGTTATCCTCCTCTACTGCACCAAGGAAGAGGCCACCTACATTTTTGAGGTGGCCAACTCTGTGGGTCTGACAGGCTATGGTTACACATGGATCGTGCCCAGCCTGGTGGCAGGGGATACAGACACAGTGCCATCTGAGTTCCCCACTGGGCTCATCTCTGTCTCATATGATGAATGGGACTACGGTCTTCCTGCTAGAGTGAGGGACGGAATAGCCATAATCACCACGGCTGCTTCTGATATGCTGTCTGAACACAGCTTCATCCCTGAGCCCAAAAGCAGCTGTTACAACACCCAGGAGAAAAGGATTTACCAGTCCAACATGCTCAACAGGTAAGGAGAAGGGATGGGTTAGCTTTACAAAAAAGGGGTCTCAAGAACTTCTGACCGCCAGAACAATTTTGGTAGGCCATTGCTTCAGTGCTGTGGGTAGTGTTGGCTAGGAACCCTGGCCAAGGGGAGTTGTGCTGATGGTGGTACTTGTGTTGCTGTGAACATCGCTACTGTCACTCCTTTGAAAAAAACATCATTATCAAAATATTGTATGAGGAGGAAGCCAGCACAAAGCAAAGGCACAATGAAGATATGATGCAAAAATATGAGTGTGCCCTTTGATGCACAACAGACTTGCTCTTATTACAACGTTGAACTCCTTGGAGAGTCTGTACATGAATGGGTCTGTAAGTGGCACATGGGTTCTTAGTGTAAGTAGTGCGGATTTTTGTATTTAAATCTAGAAGGGCCCAGGTTCCATTCCAGGAACTAGCAATGCGTAAATGGGTGTTCCTTTGTAGACAGTTGTGTAACCCAACTGGGAAATTTCCATGGCACCTGTTGTCTGAATACTGAGTGTCCTTCTGCTGTCCACTACCCCTGAATCAGAGGAGAGAAGGAAGTGTGGAGAGGTCTGGAGAACTAGATCTGGAAAAAGAATTAAGGTCAACAAGTCTGTTGAGCTCCTGCTTTATCTTGGAGGCATCTAAAGTCTTCAGGTGTCTTAAGCATCTGGTTTACTTCAAAGAAAAGGGATTTCTGTTATCATCCTGCTCATTGGCAACTCATTGGTGACTGTCTGCTGACTGTTTCAGATCTCATTCTCTCTTGTGCACACGGAATAGAGAGCCTAGACATCTCCATCAGGACTGGGAGTTTTTCTAGATGGCAGAGTATATTAAATAAAAATGTGTGTTTACAAACACATATGCGTGCACACACACAGATATATATATATATATATATATATATATATATATATATGTATATATGTATGTAAAATCTATGGAAAAACTATTTGAATAAGTATCTTTCTCTGATCCAGTTTCAGATGTTCTAAAGAAACAGTGCTAAGATGCCTGTTAAAGGTCATAGAGGAAGGCTCTGGTGGGACAAGTTCTCAAGCAGCACTCAGATTACTAATTTCCCTTTATTGTCCCAGCTAGAACTTTAGGGTGTAGCTAAGCAACCCAGATAGACATGGAAAGATCTGGGAAGTGCAGTATCTGCAATTAACCACGTGCCTTCTGACCTGCTCAGCTGTCATTCTCCAATGTTTTTCATGTAATATCCTTGGGCAGGTTGATTCCTTTGCAGTGTGAGATGGAGAATCCAGGTAGTAGTTGTCATGAGAGGTGGCTGCAGAGAGCACAGCATCCTTGTTCATTTGTCATGATGAATCATAGAATACTGTAAATGTGATGGATTGTCTTGTGTGCTGTGACCTCTCACTACAAACTGTTAGGAAGATAGAGGGACGGGTGGACTGAAAAGCAGAATGCAATTTTGCATTGTCTGGAAGCTGGGGGCTGAAATAAGTCTCCTCTTTGATCTATTAGGTTGCCCATGATTCTTTCTGTTCTTTCTTTGTCTCTGTGATCCATTGACACACTAGCAGTCACTGTCATGCTTTCCTCTTCCCTACACTGGCTTTTTGTTGTCTGCAAGCCCTTGAATCACCAAAAATGCCCAATGCGTTTATCCGTTTCCTTCCCAGCCAGGCCTAGTGGAAAAGGGTGTTTTCTGTTGCTCTGTTGAGTCATCACTGGAATGATTAAACAGGAAAAAAGTTATACTTAATACATATAAAGTTATCAGAAGTCACATAAAGGCAGGTTGCTTTTTACTTTTCTAAGCGAGTAGAGATTCTGAAAGGGAGAGCTATGCTGTGACTTTTCAGCATTTCTTTAGAAAACAAAATGTTGTCTCCTGCTGTGAGATGCTGTGTTCTGTAGAGACCTTCTGCTAATTAGCTGATGCACAAAATCATACCCATATAGCTATGCTACGTATGACCCATCAGATCTCTGCAAAGCTCTTCTTGGCACTGGATAGGAGTCACCAGCTCACAAATGCTCTAATCTCTAAATATGACAGTACTGTTGTGCAGTGTAGATATGCCCTGGAGCCTGGGCATCCCACACTGAAGCAGCTCTTGTCAGTTTGGAAAGTATTATATTTTTTCTCACCTTTGTGGCCCAAGTCATATTGTTTCTTCTCCCTTGTCGTGGTTATAACGTTCATGGGAATGACTGCAGGTGCATGTGGATATACCCAACTTAGTTTGGACGCTGACATCAATCTCTCTGAAAAGCCGAGTCAATTAGTCCAGGCCAAGCTCCATTCTGCCTCTGCTTAGATTGCTTTGGGCATCTGAACTAGCTCAGAAATCACTATACTCTGTGGAAGTTGCTTCTGCAGCCGCAGTGTAAATAATCGCTTTGCCTTGCACGACACTGACCTGTGATATGCTAGTATGGGAGTTCTTTCTCCTGCAAACACTTGTACCCTGTCTGTACTTTTGAGAGAGATGGTTGAACAGCATGAACTCCAGTGAGTTACGTGCTTGGGCTTCTTTTTAAATGCAATGACTTTCAGACACCTTTTGGCATGTTAAAACTAGTGGTGTCCAAAATCAGCATTTGCCTTTGCAAATCCAAAGTTCTAACAGAAATGTGATCAGCTTCAAGCTCAGCCTTACAGCCTGGGGTCTGGACAGGAGGAAGGAGAGGAGAGGGAAGTGGGAAGAAAGCAAAGATGAAGATAAGAGTTCACCTCACTACCTGCAGAGGTTAATGGTTATGATCTGTGTTCATACCTTCAAGTCTTGTTGAACTCACTGGAGTTTACTATGTGCTAAGCTTTAAACCTCTCCTGGTATGCTTTGGGCTGGACTGAAGGTTCTGGAAAACTAATTTTAGACGTGCCCCGGACCTGGCAATACTATATTCAGCCATCTGCAGCTTACAGTTCCCCCTCCGCATGCCTACACAGAATAGAGAAATGTATGTATGTGGGTTTGATGTCTGGGGAGACTGCAAAGTGTGTGTGTGACCTCAGATAATACATCACCACATAGCTGGGGTTTCAGAAACTCCTGAAGGTGTTTCTGAAAGGTGGTCTGGTTTGCTTCAAATCCATTGCTGGAAGGCAGTAAAAGAATCTACCAATTTTATTATTTGGAAAGTGACACTTATAACTAAAAAACATGTGAACTTTAGTTCTGCTGAAACACTTCACATGCTAAGACTGTGAGTTTGTCGTTTCCCTATTTCTGCTTCTGAATCCTTTTGCAGTAGTTCTGAATGCAGCTAAAATCAAATGGTCCCACTCCATTGATATTTCTCCATATTTTTATCTGCTAATTCATGAGCTTTTTTTTTTTTTTTTGGTTTTGTAAGTGCTTGCACTAAGAAAGCTTTGTTTGAAGTATGGCTAGAGGCATAAAGAGAATCAGGATGGACTGTTACTTAAATGCCATTTCTCACCAATGTAGGTGTTTGGTATGCATCTCCTCATGTTAATAATGGTCTCATAGCAACTGTTGCTTGTCAGTCTTGAAACTGGTACTCCTTTGTGTTGGATTAGAACTGCAGAAGTGTGAGTTTGCAGATTTTGTCCTAGAAAATGAGCTTGCTAGCTAGTAGAAGCATGATATCATAAGGAAAGTTAGTTCTACAAAAAATGTTATTTTTCCTTTCTGAAAGATTTGAAGGATTCTTGAAAGTTTTCCTTCAGTGAGGGATTTATTTCAATTTATGCTGTTAATAGGCTTAGGTGATCACATAGAATTCAACTATCCAAATACTGTTTTCCAGTTCAATTACACTCTTTAATTCTTTGGTGTTTTTTTTTTAATAAGTATCTGTTTATTTATTCCAGCATTGTCCCAGAAAGCTATCTGGTTTGAAAGTTCCAGTCTACTGAATCTGTAGTTATCTTGATAACCGGTCTTCTCCAGAGCATTCAGCAAATCACTGTGCTCCCTACTCTCTTCTGCCACATGAGAAGATTTCAGAGATTGAGAAGGAGTTTCTAACATGATTTTCCTCTGGAGAGATGCTCAGATTTGGAATTCTTCCTTCTTGCCCTTCCAAGTGGAGTTACTAACCTTCTAGGCATTCTGCAAAAGTCATCTACTCTCTCTTCAGCATGGCTGCTACGGAGTGAGTGGGCAGAGGTGGATGCATTCAGAGGCAGCCTTCTGCTTATTTTGTTATTTTAATAGATGGGACAGATTTCCTTGAGCTCAGGATGGATGCTTCTTACTATATTTTAGAAATGGGAAGAAATAACTAAATGATGGGAGCATTCTTGAGAGAGGTATTCAGGGATGAGTCGTGGTAAAAGAATGGGTTTTCTGGCACATGTCATTTGAGGAATAGAAGCACAGCCATTTTGTATGGCTATTCAGTCATTGGGCTATACATAAGCTATGCTTCTGTTATAGTCTTCAACAAGACCTGGGTTCTTCCTACTGGTTGTCATGGCTGCTTGTGAATGCTGGGCCATAACTACTAGTTTGTTGTTGTAGGGTTACTAATGAGTTCTCCACTGATTGGCTTTAATAGTCTCTCATTTAACACCAGGCTGCACACACCAGATTTCATTTTAATAAAAAGCGCAGTGAAGCATTTGCTTTGGAATGAAAATACAAATGTGGAATTATACTGCCTTTGCAAAGAAATACATTAAGAGGGGAACAAAGATAGGTTCAATTCTGCGCTTCAGATTCCTCAAATATGAAAACAGCTGGCAAGCTAGTTTGGTGCATTTTTTGGACATGATACTTCCACTCTGGAGGAAATAGACTTTCATCTGGAGCTTTTCATTCCAGCCAGTTAAGAAAGGCCAGGCTGGATGGGGCCCTGATCAATCTGATCTAGTGGCTGGCAACCCTGCCTGTGGTAGAGGGGTTGGAATTAGATGATCTCTGAGGCCCCTTACAACCCAAACCATTCTGTGATTCTATGAAATGCAAAAGAGCCTCTGAAGAACCACTGGAAACTTTTTCCTGGGACACCAAGGGCAAGTTCTGTTCTCAGAGGACCTAATTCCCC